CGTGGCGGGGAATTTAAAAAGCGACGCGTCATCTGTCAACCCGTTTTATTACCGGAGAGATATTTGTTTACCGACTTGTCAGCAAACTTGTTTCGTTTTGTTAGTGTCTAAACTACCTGCAGACAGACTTTAACTCAGGTGACTGCATATACTTTATTATTCAAATATTTTATCATTTAAATTGCATGTATATTGTCATGTAATCGTATTGTTATCGTGTTGAATGGATTGTGACGATAAGAAACAGCTATTTTATAAGAGTATCTTTGTTTGTAAAGGTGATGTTTCATCATAATCTCTAACTATGTTTAAAATATAAGTTAACATTGCAGAAAGATGTAATATGCAGTAGTATGGAGGACCAAACCTGCAGTTAAAAATGAATGAATGAATAAATAAATGAATGAATAAATAAATAAAATTAAATGTGATAATAGGAAAATACATAAAGGAATAAACGACTTGATAAAATAATTATGATAACATTTTAATCAAATATATTTTTGTATAATTTCCCCCAAATATATCATTTTTTGCTTTTATATTTTAATGTATTTGTATTCGTTTTAATTGTATTTATTTATTATTTTATTTCTTTGTTCAGTTTATTCTTATATTTATTTATGCAGTCATTTAATTGTATATTTATTTATTCCAATTTGTTTTTATTTCCAGATATATTTGTTTTAACCTTTATTTATTTAAATTTTCTTTCTTTAGTTTTATATCTATTTTTACATTATTTCATTTATTGATGTGGATGATAATTAGGTTGGTTGGTCTTGCTTACCAAATATAAATATTAATTAACACATAAATAAAAGCAGAAAGGGAAGGGAAAAAAATACAAAAATGATTTTGATTAAGAATAAATCATATTTATTTTATCAAGTCATTTATTCCTTTATTTATTTTCCTATTATCAAATGTATTTATTTATTTTTTTTTTTTTTTTTACTTATTAATTTTTAATTTCTGCAGGTTTGGTCCTCCTATATTGTAGTTAATATCACACACACACATATTACATTTAAATTATGAACAAATAGATATATGTGTGCAATTTAATAGTACAATTTAACATTTTTAATTAGTTAAACTTGTTAACTTTTTATATATACATGCATACATTTCTGCATATATATTTTTATATATTATTTTATTTATTTATTTTATAGTAATGGAGGAGGATGAAGAACTGGACTGGAGTTTTTCTCCAACAAAATATCTCACACAGCTGTAAGTAAATCAAGTATCTTGTCATGTGTGTTATATATACCCATGTCAAATTCTTATAAAATTGGAATAAAAATTGAACATACTGGAGAGAAACCATTCAAATTATAATGCGTAATTTTTATGCTCATCTGCAGCCACAGGATCCACAGTCTTATCTACAACAGGTTACTTTACACATCTGTTTTGGAGGCTTATTCAATTACATACAGACTTATCCTCCATGTTCTTTTGTTCTAACTACTGTTAAGGTTTGAATACACCAGTGGTGAAGGTGGGTGCACTTCATGAATTGTATGCATGCTAAACTGTTATTTGTTGTGAAAAAATTGACTATTTACTTACAAGCATTTGAACATTATCAGAATGTGCATTACTAGAACAAATAACAGAATAAATAGAATAAAAGAATAAATAATGATTAGTCATTTAATGTAGTCAAGACAATCAAATACATATGTACATTCAGTTTTTAATTTCCTCCCTGTACTTTTCCTTGCAGCTCTGCCGCAGCCTCCAACAACATCGGCTCCTGTGTGTAGGACTTCATCACAGGGTGAAGGCTTTGCACCATCTCACGCAGCACAATCAGCATCTAAACCTGCACCAATGCTGTCTGCACTCACTGAAACCCCTGTTCCCAGCTACTTGAACAAAAAAGTAAAGACGTGCATTACACACGTGTATTAAATGTGTTATTCACGCATATACAATATTATACATATTAATGCACTTTTAATATATATATACAGTGGTGTGAATAAGTGTTTGCCCCCATGCTAAAGTTGCCTAAAAAGAGGAATAAAAAATCATCTTTTGGATATTGATCTTAATGCCTTAATTAGAAAAATGAGGAAAACTCCAACCTTTAAGGACACAAATTTTCTTTGTGAATGAATAATGTATCATAAATAAATAAATGTTTTTCCTTAAAATACAGGGTGCATAAGTCAGGGCACCCCTATGTTAAATTCCCATAGAGTCAGGCAGATTTTTATTTTTAAAAGCCAGTTATTTCATGGATCCAGGATAATATGCATCCTGATAAAGTTCCCTTGGCCTTAATATCCCCACATCATCATCACACACCTTTCACCACACCTAGAGATTGGCATGGGTTACTTTCCATAAGATCATCTTTCAATGCAAATCAAACCAGCAATTAGGCTAACTGAAGTAAAACCATGCAAACACTTATTCACACTACTGTATATATATATGGATGTTCATTAAAATTACAAAAGTATTGTATTTTATTGCATTGCATTGTATTTTTTTTAAGTTCATTTATTGACTAGCATTATTTTATCTTGCTCAGATTTGAAAAAAAACACTAAATATTAAGTATTGTTACTATTAAACACTGTACATAATTATTTAATTTTAAAAATGTTCTTTTTTTTCATTTTCTCCACAACCATATTATTGCTGTTATTTAATCTATAATTTTAAATTGTTAAATTTCTTTCCATTGTCCATTAAAATCAAACAGTTTAGTCCTTGTTTGCATTGCAATTTAGTGTGTTTTTAAAGTTAATTTTATTGACTTGTATTATTTTATCTTGGTCAGATGTGTAAACACTATTAATAAATGTTAATTAAACATTGTACATAATTATTTTTTATTTTTTTTAAATCTTGTTTTTCCCCCAGCTTTATGTTATTATTATTGTTATTATTCATGTTATTGTTTTTTAATCTATAAGTATTTAATACAGTACCTTTTCAGTTTTACATAATAATATGTATATTATTGTATTATAAATAAAATGATAAACTTACTATTTGGTGTTTACTGGTTGTATATATATATATTGGATTTTTGTGCATAGTTAAAGAAATATAATGTGAAAATCTCTAAAAAAAAATAAAGGTCTAAAACATTATCAAAATGTTCTTTACAATTATTCACATTCAAATATTTTCTATATTAAAAGAGAACTATAACCTATTATAATTTAAATGTTCATTGAGATAATTGGACATTTCGTACATCCTACACAAAAACAAATCTTAAAAGTTGTATTCTATTTTCAGCAAAAATTTTGTTTATTATATGTAAATCGTACTTGACATGAATTTGTAATCATTTTTTAATCTAGATACAATATATTATATTTGTGGTCGAGACGGGACTCGAACCTATGATTTTGTGTATATTTTCTGGCCCGCCTCCCTGAAATTTCCTGCGTTCCTATTGGCTGGCAGCGCTCTACACCTACACGCGACTGGCCAATCGAATGGAAGGCAGCAGCTATGCTCACCACTATACCACCAACGCGTACATTAAAATGCATGTGGTAGTCGGATTGGGAACCACTCCTACTCCAATCTTGACTTTTTGTTGTATGCGAATGGATCTTTTCACTCATATATATTTTGGATACAAATTGTGTTCACCAATCGTTAAATATTATTTAAGCCAAACGAGGATCGCATGCATCGCACACATCGACTTGGCGTTTCTTATAAGCATAAGTGTGACCCCTAGTGGTCACAGTTTTCATTACCGTCTATCCACAGCTAAGCTGCAGTGTCATTTAATACAGACATGTATAGCCATTCAAAATAGCAGAATAAAGAAACACAAATTAACAGTCTCACCTTATACCTTGTAATGTACTCAACCTCAAGTCTGTCTAAACCAATATTTTTTCATACCCACATTTGTGATTTCCATGCAGGATATTTTACACAGAAGGCTACTGTCGGATAGTAGGCTACAGTACTTTTTATTTAAATAATACAAATCACATTGGTTCAAATTGATGAGCAATAATTTATGTTGGAAATGCCAGCTGGAAACAAGTAGGCCTGCCCTACAATTCTACACTGTATTTGGGAATGTAGTCTGGTCAAACTACTTACAAGTTTCAGTGTGGATGTTGTTTTGATAGGGCAAACTATTTGGCAGCGCTTTTAGTGGTAATTAAATTGATAGTCCTAAAAAGTGGTTTGGTTTTGTGATAATAGACATTCATTGAATAAGTAAAACAAAGTTAAAAATATTTAGTAACCACCAAAGGAGGCTACTAACAACTCAATTAGGAAATACTGTAAGAAAATAAATATATTGGTGTTATAGCTAATAGATCATAAATTATGCTGAAAACCACAAAAATAATCTAAGAACAAAAATGTCTAAATACAATTTATTATCAAATAGTTTTTTCAATGATATAACTTGTAATACATATATGTATTCTTTGCTCATTTCCATCTGTATCTGTGGGATACATATAAAACCATTATAAATCCAATGGATTACAAAAGAAAGCAATAAGGATTGTACAACGGATTAAAATGTGTATTTCACTTTGTAAAAAAAAATAAATAACTAAGGTTAAAATAATTTGATATACATAAATTGAGCATGTGATACTTAAACTACTGAATAAATGTAGGTAATGTTGTAATTTACAGTTAAATATTTTAATCTATAGCTATAATGCCTGGTTCTCCCCCTGGTCAAATCTGTGTGGAAAAAAAAAACATTAAAGATATTATTATTATTATTAGAATTTTATTATTAGTATTTTTATTATAGAAATTACACCTGTCTGTGATATAAAATACCTGGTCACTTTATACATTCATTAAGTCATGAATGAAGAAATATTATGCATTTCATATATAATATCAAGCATGACTGTGACATATTGCTGCCATCTGCTGGACAAGAATAAAAACGAAAGTAAAAGTGAGTGAGCCACCACCACCGCACCACGTATGGCTGCACACGCCATTATTTTTTTTTTTTTACTCGTGTATTTTATATGATTTTTTTGTTTTGTTTTGTTTTTGTGTAGGCGGCCTATCGGCTCGGGTCTTTTACGTGCCTAATAGAAGGCTATCAGCTTACCAAGGATTGGCTTTCGATAAATTCGACATTTATCTGTGTTAACTAACGCTAACTTAACTCAAAAGTTCGTGAACAACAACAATGATTTCCAATGCGGAATTACTCACAGAATTCAGAGGAGCTAAATAGGTTTACCTGGTAAGTGTGATTCACTCTGATTTTCTATTTTATTTTATTTTTTATTTTTACTTGAGGGAAACTAATACCAATTGAGATACATTTATTGTGATTATTGTTAGGCCTCAGTATAGCCTATATGTATCGTAATTAGAAACTTGACATTCTTCGACACTTTCCCCAATCTATGACTATTCTATTGGGAGTTTTCAGATTGCAATATGTTTTCAGATAGCAATATTATTGTAATATTATTTGATTTTTAATATTTTCTTTCAAACTGTGTCTTGTCCAAATTGTTGTTGACAGTAGGCTACTTCCTTGTTTCATGAAGTCATTGTTTACCAAATAAGTTTTAAAATAGTTTTGCATTTCAAGGCGTTCAGCAGGCTGTGCTAACAGTAGAAATAAACTACTTCTGCACTAAATAACTAAATAAGATTGTTTTAAGTAGCTTATATTTCTCTTAAATATTATATTTATATTAAAACGATAGTCATCTGGTAAACTTTAAATCACTTTTTTGTTGCTGTTGTCATAGTTCAGGGGCCCGTTTCAATAAGGAGGTTCAACCAACTCTGAGTTAAAGCTTGAACTCTGAGTTGACTTACCCTGAGATGGGAAACTCGGAGTTTTCGGTTTCAGAACAGCTGAAATGAGTTAGTTCAATCAACTCTGAGTTGACTGACTCTGAGTTAAGCGCGTGCACCACATTTATAAAAAGCCATTATCAATGGAGCGCAGATATTATGAGTCACCATGGCAACAGCGCCAGACAAAAAGAGGTGTTGGGTGTAATTAATTACCAAGTAATCTAAATATTGTAATTTAATTAAATGGATTACTCTTAATTCCTCTGTAATTTAAAATAAAATATGATGCAATTACATTAAATAGTCTACTGCATAAACTAGACCAATTCAGTATAAAACAATAGTGGATTTAACATACATTTTTAAAAGATGTATTTTTTATGTAACCTCCTCTACACACTTTGATCAATTCAAGAATAATTCATGTAATTGTATACTGTTCATTTGAAAGCATTAAAAGTGCAGTTTCTTGTCTCTCTTCCTTGTATTGTTCAAGTGGTTGAGGTTGATATAGGATTTAGTAATTAGTATTATGTAGACCAATACTTTCTAGAGATGGTAATTATTTCATTAAGCTAACTACACCGTTGAAAGATGTCATTTGTTGTTAATAATTCATAACTATTTTAGAGTTTTATAATATCAGAGGTGAAACCTGAAGAATGTTATTCAACCTAAAGTAGGCTATTATTACTTTGATAATTTTTTACTTAAGTAAAAGTAAAAATACCAGTCTAAAATTTACTCATGTAAAAAGTAGTTAATTTAAAACATGAGTTAAAGTTGCTGAGTAACTTGTTTAACAGCGGGGGTGGGGTGGGGGACTCCCCCATGTGGGGTTGTAACGTATGAAAGTTTCACAGTATGAGAACCGTCTCAGAAAATATCACGGTTTATGGTATTAAACAATTATTAAATATATAAACTGCATTATTAAATTACGGTTATTATTATCATCAGTTAAAATGACAGTTAAATAAATTAAACATTTGTTCAATAAAACATATGTAATCAACTAACTTCAATAATTGATTATGAATAAGATTAAAATCTTATTTTTTATCATTAATAACTTATTAAATTATGTATGAAAAATATTTGAGTTCTATTAAATGTTTTTTTTATTCCAATTTTTTAATGATTTAATAGAAATATATGATCAAAAACGGTGGTAATCAAATAAAAGTTTAGCAAATGTTTTAATCCTTTTATTTTTTGGCAAAGTGCTGCAAAACAGATTTAGTCAATTAAAACATGGACAGACAATATATATTCCTTAAAGAATGTGTAAATACATTTTTGTATTATTGTTGGTGTTTAAACAGCACTTCCTCTTTAAAAAAGGGGAGGAGACCACAAGAAACTCTGAGTTTACTGAAGAAAACCTGCTCCCGACCAGGTTAGGTTCACAGAGTAAGTTACCATGGTAACTGACTCTGAGTATAAGTTACCTGTCTTTCAGAAATGGGCTTGACTTACTCTGCTTTCTCGGGTTTGATATACCCCCCTTTCTGAAACGGAAAACCCAGAGTTTCCCTCATTTCAGGGTTAACATACTCAGAGTTTTCACTTAACCTCCTTTCTGAAACAGGCCCCAGGTCATAACCTCTATGTTATGAAATTATGTATTGCAATTCACTTTGAATTTTACATTTACATTAATAAAACCTGATTTTCAGAACCTGTGTGTTTATTTTACAAATAACCACTCTTATTAGTTTTATGTTTAGTATTTATTAAAATAAGCTTGCTACCTTTCTGTGCTGTACACAACCATCCATATAAGAATAATCTCTTTCTGTGTATCAAAGGGTGCGACCAGATGAAGCCTCCCAGCACTTTGATACCTGTCTCTAACAAGCAATCAGACGATGGATCGTTCGATTGTGCTCAAAATGGAACCTCTAGTTATATGGAAGAGAAGTATGACCATTTAGATATGTGGTGTGCTTTTTTATATAGGGCCGTATAGGTGTGCTTTTTGTATAAGGCCCAACTCATCTTGCATTGCATTGCATTCTTGTCTCTTGTAACACGTTTCTAGACTGTTAAACCTGTTTTCACCCCCATTCTGTTTTCTCACCAATTCTCCCAAGTTTGAGATTAAATGACACAACAACTCTATATAACCTTTACTCTGGCCTTGTCTAAGCATTATTGTCATAAAGACTCTGAGTTTTAAAGCTACACTATGTAAGTTTTAGCCCTCAGTTGAAGCATAACACCATTGTTTTATAACGTGAGTTGGGCTTCAGTGCTGCAATGTAAATAAATCTGTAGGTGTGCCAGTGTAGCCATGGTGATAGGTGATCATTTTATCAGAGTGAATGTTAATAACAACATTTACATCCACCCCTCCCTTTCCAAAGAATGATGAAAAGGATGAATATTCTTTATTCTTAATTAACATATTGCAAAATCTGTTAATTAGTCCCGACATATCTATTATGATTATAGGCTCACCGTAGTGGCTCAAGTTAAGGCAAAAATGCGGTTTGGAATTAAGGAGATTTTGTCGATTTCTTACAAAACAACATTTTTTTATGTTGAGGATTTGTAGAAAATTCAATAATATTTATGTTTGCATTTAATGGACTTAACATTTTATTATTTAAATTTTTACAAGACACTTTTGTCTCCATGTACCAAAGAGCGAGACCGGATGAAGGAGCATCTCCAGCACCCTCCCTCCTGTCTGTAAAGAGTGATGAGTCAATGGATAGACCCATTGCGTTCAACCATGCAGTACGAAGTTACATGGGAGAGAAGTATGATAATTTACAATGTCAGGAGGTTGAAGATATTTTGTGCATATTGTATAGTGAGAAACTATTTATAAACAAAATTTCTTGTTTGGCTCTGCATATCTCTTGTGCAAATGTTAAACTGGTTTTGTTTTTCCTTCTGCTTTCTAGGCTTTTAGAATCTGTAATGATTAATCATTTTATCTAATTGTTCTCCATGTACCAAAGGGCGAGACCAGATGAAGCACCATCTCCAGCACTCTCACACCTTTCTATGAAAAGTGATCAGTCAATGGATTGGCCAATTGCATTCAGCAATAAAACTCTTAGTTACAATGGGTATGAAAAATATGAGAATTTACTTGGTTTACAATGGTGTGTTTGTTGCATAATAAAGAAAAAAAACACTTATTTAGAAATAAGTAATGTTATGTCTATCAGACATATAACTATTTTCTTGAACATGTTGTATATTCTAAATTGTTAAACTTGAATTTTCTGTGTCATCCTGACAGTCTAAGACCAGATGAGGCAGCATCTCCTGTAACTTCATACTTCTCTTTAAAAAGCAACCAATCAATGGATCGAACGATTGCATTCAAAGACAGAACTCAGCCTTACAGTGTCAAACGGTATGAGAATTTACATTCTTTGATCAGATATACATGTGCATGTAGTGTGTCTGCAATTTAAGAATTCAGTAGTCACTACAAATACCTGTAAAATAAGATTCTCTACTAATTTTAATAATAAAAAAAATAGTGTAATGACCTTCAACTCACCAGCCTAGAAGTTTCTAGTAAAACTTTTAGACCTTGATTAGCTGGATCGGGTGTGTTTAATTAGGATTGCAGCTAAACTCTGCACTATGGCCCTTCAGGAACTAAGGCTGTGTCTGAAATTGCCTCATACCCTCATTCACTGTTCCCTATAGCATTGGATGTTCTGGGTGGTTTCTATGGTGTTGCTAGGTGGTTGCTAGGGTATTTTGGGTGGTTGCTTGGGCGTTTCTGAGCGGTTGCTAAGGTATTTTTGGTGGTTGCTATGGTGTTACTTGGTGATTGGTAGTTGTCACATATGGTTACTATCAAGTTTTTACATAGGCCCGCTGCAGGCATCTGGTGTGATCTGTCAGTGAGTGAGGGGAACTGTATGTGAATTTGTTTTGTGCTGATTTCCTAACTTTGTCTAGCGCTTTTTTGTCAGCAGTGGTGCAGCTACTAAACCACACCAGAATGTTGTGTGAGATTATACTTTGGACAGAATAATTGTAAAAGGATAAAAGCAACTACTGCGAGAGGTTAATTTTGTCAAGTGACATGAGAAAGTACAGCTGCTGCTGAGCTTTCTTCACAAGGGCTGTTGTGTGGAATAGCCCAGGTGATGTCCTGTGGCAGACCAGGGCAAGGTCGGTCCTCTTCCTGTGGAAGTCTACCATCACCTCTTTGGTCTTAGGTGTTGAGAGACAGGTTGTTGGTGGAGAACCAGGTGGAGAGTTTTTTGTATTTCATCCCTGTAGGCGGATTCATTGATGTTGTGAATAAGTACAACTATAGTGGTGTCATCCGCAAACTTGATAAAAGTATTGCTTTCATGAGCCGGGGTGCAGTCGTGAGTGTATAAGATGTAGACTAAGGGACTCAACACACAACCCTGGGGGCCCCAGTGCTGAGTGTTAGAACAGAGAAAGTTGGGAGCCCAGATGAACTGACTGGGGAAATCATGGATCCATCTGCAGATGTTTGTGCTGATACACAGTCCATGTTGCTTGGACACCAGTCTTCCAGGGATGATGCAGTTGAATGCAGAACTAAAGTCCACAAACAGCAGTCTTGCATAGGTGTCAGGATGGTCCAGGTGGGTTAAAGTGCCCCTCGATCTTCCTCCAGTAGGCCGCTTTTGCTTCCTTGATGCCTTGATTTTGATTCCTGGGATGTTCCCTATCGAGGGAACTCAACACTGCGTCGATAAAATCGACTCTTTGGGCATGCTGCCTAAGCGTAGTTTCAAGTATGAATGAAACTAATCCAATCCTGATTGGTGTTGCGTCGTGACGTAACATGTGACGGCATACCCGGAAGTATAAAAGTGACGCTGTCACAACACACACTAGCTTTCGCTCTTCAGCAAGCGCTCTGTGTGAAAACTGTCTGTCTTATTTGGTGTTGTTTGTCTCTTATATATAAGAATTATGGCCAGCAAACAATTCAAGAAATGTGTGCATCCCTGCCCTTGCTACATCACGGGTGGGGATACACACTCTCTGTGTGTGAGTTGTTTGGGAGTGCAGCACGCACAGGCAGCTCTCGAGGGGGCTGCTTGTGAACACTGTAATGCTATGCCTATTAGAGTGCTGCGCTCCCGGCTGGAGTGCTTCGATGAGCACGTTCAGGCTCGCGTTCCCCAGGGTTCCGGTCCCGCATTCGTTGAGGCGATACGGCGATTGAGATCCTGGGGTTCGCAGCGGGATCTGGCAGAGGAGAATGAGAATGCTGAGGCATTTTCTCGTTCTCTACCTGCTGGTCCTGCAGCCTCTGAAAGTGGTGCGGGAGCCCGTGTTGAGGTTTCTCCTGCCCACGATCAGGTTCCAATGCTTGAGCTGTCTGATTCTGAGGAAGTAGACGCGCTCAGCATTGAGGCGGACGACCGTGAGTTCAGCACTCCAGCGCAAGGCCAGAGTTATGAGGAGCTGGTTGAGGTTGTGACTCACGCTGTGGCCAGATTAAACATCAGCTGGCCACAAAATGAGCAGGAAACGCAAGTTAAAAGTAAACTTAACGAGCGTTTCCTGCAGCGCAGGTCACAGCCTCACAGCCGGGGTTTGCCGTTTTTCCCCGATCTCCACAAAGAGATCGCGAGATCGTGGGATAAACCACATTCGTCCCGTGTCTCCAGCCCCAGTACCATCGATTACAGTAATGTTTTGGGGGCACGGGACATGGGCTATGGGAAGATGCCGAGGGTGGAAGAGGCTTTAGCGAGTTATCTTTCACCTGAGTCGGCGTCTTCCCTAAAAACCCCGGTATTGCCTAGTAAGCCCTGCAGGGATACATCTGCACTTATTGGCAGGGCTTACATGGCGGCAGGTCAGGCTGGTTCATGTCTGCACTCGATGGCGATCTTGCAGGCATACCAGGCCGACCTCCTGAAAGATTTGGACGAGGGGGAGGGGCCGACTCCGGAGGATGTTGCGGAGTTAAGGAAAACCACAGATCTGTCTCTCCGGGCCACGAGAGAGACAGCCCGTGCCATTGGCCGCTCCATGGCGGCCATGGTGGCTATGGAGAGGCATCTGTGGCTAAACCTTTCCGGCATTAAAGACAAAGATAGGTCTTTTCTGCTGGATGCGCCGCTCTCGCCTTCTGGCCTGTTCGGCGAAGCCGTTTTTTTCGGTCGTCGACAGGTTTCAGGAGGCGAAGAAACAGTCTGCGGCGTTCCAGCAGTAAAGATGTAAAGACGAGCAGAGAGTAGAATAGCTTATAGGTTAAAAAATTAGCTAGACAGCGAATGTGTGCATATTAACACCCTTGAATTAACCATAATTTAATATTATTACTATTACATGATTAAATGTTAATTAATTAAGTGCATCAGCCATCAGAAATTTCTTAGACATAGCCTATTTGTTACCTAGGTAACGAGGATCACTCGGTCGCATTGTATAATTTCCAGAACAAAACAGCACGGCGGCGGCAAATGTGCATTTTGTCCCTCATTAAAACGGTGCCGGCAGCATCACATTACAATTTCATCAACAGGTTACAAACTAGTTTGTTGTAGCTATATGCACACTCATTTTTTCCTGTTGTAAAAAAAAATTTGGCCAAAATCGCATTTTATAAAAGATGAAGCTATATGAACAGTTTCAGGTCCAACATGTCTCAGTCAGACATCAAATAAATGAAATGAACCTCGATAGACATAGTATTTAATATTTATTCAAACAACAAGATCTTTGTTTATCCTTGCAAAAGTTTGTTCAGCTGCTGTCTGCTGTGCGGGTGCTGCGGAGCTTCAGTTCATTCAATCACGATAGCGGGGGCGGAGTCAGAAGTTTTCAGGTTTACTGAAAGTTTGAGGATCGAACAAGATTTACACATGTTCGCACAACACAACTTCTCGTTCCCTATCAGGGAACTAGGGTTACATACCTAACCGAGACGTTACCTTTCAAGGGAACTCGAGCTGTGTCAAACGCTGTGGGAATGCTAATACCCACGTCGCCATAAGAGCAAGTGTCCGTAGTGTGAAGTCAAAGTGCACATTCAGACGAAAGCACCTGTGCCCCAGGAGTTGAGCTGAAGTCAAGGTCATAAAACATAATGAATTTGTGCGGTGAAGACCAGCCTGCCGCATCACAAACATCATGGAGGGAAACTCTTCACAATAGAGCTTTAGAAGCAGCCATACTCCTAGTCGAGTGAGGTCGAACAGCCAATGGTGTGGGCTGACCAGCCGACTCGTATGCAAGTGAGATGGCCTCGACCACCCACTTGCTCATCCTCTGCTTAGAAGCGGGACACCCTTTCCTGGGTGGCCCAAAACATACGAACAGTTGTTCAAATTTCCTCCACAGGGCAGCTCTGTGGACATGAGCACCTAAGGCCCACACAAGGCAGAGCAGATTACGTTTCTCCTGGTCTAACATCAGAAATGGTGAAGGACAGATGGCCTGTAGAACTATGGGTCTCATAACATTAGTACGAACCTTGGAAACGTAGCCAGTCTAGGGTGGAGACAAGTCTTTACCATACCAGGCAAAAATTCCAGGCACAAGGGAGAAACCGAGAGTGCTTGAATGTCTTCAATTCTCTTGAGAGACGACATAGAAAGGAGAAAGATAGTCTTTAGAGTGATGAATTTCTCTTCAACTTCTTCAATGGGCTCAAAGAGAGCCAGGGAGAGAGATTCTAATAGGATGACACCCTTGTGCGAACTGCTGGCCTCAGCCACAAAGTACCACAAAGAAAGTGAGTTATTTGTGGGTGTCTCCCCAAAGTTACTCCATTTAAAGGGACGTGGTAAGCAGCCAGTTCCGCCACGTAACTCTTCATTGTGACAAAGCTAGACCAAACAGAAGATCTCTATATTGGTACGCTTCGCCCCAGAAAGCGAACCTCAGGAACTTCCTGTGTTAGAGAAGGATGGAAATTTTGGATTGTGGAAGGATGGAAATCTGGAAGTACGCGTCCTTTAGATCTATCATGACAAACCAGTCCTCGGATCTGATTTGTGACACAATCTGCTTGAGAGTGAGCATCTTGAACATGAGTTTCCCTACTGAGCGATTTAACAGGGGCAGATCTAAAATTGGAGGCAACCCCCCTTCCTTCTTTGGAATGATGAAATATCGGCTTTAATAACCCTCCTTCCTGCTGGGAGGAGGAACCCATTCTATAGCCTCCTTTTGCAGGAGCGATTTCACCTCCTGTTCCATTACCAGAACCTGCTTGGGGCCCACCACTCTGAATCGAGGTGGACGAGACCTGAACTGTATAGCGTAACCGTTTTCAATCGTTATCAGGATGTTTTTGGAAGGCTTTTCCACTCTGCCAGAGGCGTCAGGACTTCTTAGACAAAGCCTTTTTGGTATTAAAGAGTAACTAAACACTTAACCAACTTTTTTTAGTTAATGATCTGTAAGAATGGATCTTTATTAATACCAGTCATTGATTCGAGTAACTTTTATGGCATTTGTTTATAAATTGTTCTATTTCTACAATATATGGCCTCTTCAGGTTGAACGGTGGTTACTGCAGTTGAATTTTCCTATTGGATGTTTGCAGTGGTACGTGACACAGCGGTTTTTGGTGACGTAGGCAAGTTCCATACAAAGAGATGCGTCTCAGGCGCACGCCCCCCTCCGCTGGGCTCTGCCCACTTTTCCAGCATTTTTCAAATATTGCCAGTGGGTGGAGTCAGGCTCTGACCAGGGGTTTAGTTACCCTTTAAGGACTCTCCTCAGATCAGCCTTACTCCTCGAAGACTTCTGAAAAAGAAAACTCTTCGAGTGATCCCTGTATTTACATAAAATGGTCTGGGCTAAGCCCCAGATGTCCTTCAATGCTGAAAACGACAAAAATAAGTAGCCACGCCAGTCCAAACATATTTTAGTCATGTTTTCTCTAAAATATTCTGAGCATGACTGTGATCAATTTATCTATTTTGTATGTCATTGTGATAGTTGTTTATAACCTCATTTATACTCTCACAGTCAGAGACCAGATGAAGCACCATCTCCAGCACTCTCACACCTTTCTATGAAAAGTGATCAGTCAATGGATCGCCCAATTTCATTCAGCAATAAAACCCCTAGTTACAATGGGTATGAAAAATATGAGAATTTACTTGGTTTACAATGGTAATGAATTTTCTTTACAATGGTAATGCACTTGAATTTTCTGTGTCATCCCGGCAGTCTAAGACCAGATGAGGCAGCATCTCCTGTAACTTCATACTTCTCTTTAAAAAGCAACCAATCAATGGATCGAACGATTGCATTCAAAGACAGAACTCAGCCTTACAGTGTCAAACGGTATGAGAATTTACATTCTTTGATCAGATATACATGTGCTTGTAGTGTGTCTGCAATTTAAGAATTCAGTAGTTGCTATGAATACCACAACAATTTCATGATTATCTACCAATTTTGATTTTGAAAAATAGAGTAACACTACCTTTAACGATTTAACTGTTTTATTTAACTATTTGTAAAAAGAGACTCTTTAATGATTAAATGAATGGACATTATTATTTAACAGATTAACTCTTTAATCATTAAATTTGGCTGTCACATATATACGCGTATCCTCTTAGCAACATGAAAAAAAATTTTTTTTTTTCAAAATGTGAGTGTGAATTATGCAAAAATGTGAGCAAAGAGTATTGCTTTTACAATCACTGAAGCTGTCCATTTAAAGAACTGTAACGAAGAATTGGTACGGAAGAAAGAACGGCATCATTATATTTTTACATTTTCAGTGTCAATACATATAACAACACTATGAGCTTGTGTGTACATTAGAGGTCCTATAAACAAATCAAACAACCATGCTTTAACTCTCACAGTCTGCGACCAGATGAAGCAGCATCTCCAGCACCCTCACTCCTGTCTGTAAAGAGTGAAGAGTCAATGGATAGGCCTATAGCGTTCAAAAGTGGACCGGAAAGTTACATGGGAGAGAAGTATGATAACTTGGTCAGGGGATTAAAGTCAACATTCCTGCCTTCCTGTTCTTTTTTTAATAGCATATCGCTTGTGCATTTACAATGTTATTTTAAAAGTGTCTCATTTTGTAATATCAAATTGTTGGCACTATTCACTGAAGGTTTAGGCACAGCGATATCTTCTTGCTTTTACTTTTTTTACACTGTTTTTACAATCTTTGCATTATAGTTGAAAGTAATAACCAAAGATGTTTCCACAGCACACTTTCAGCCACTCTTCTGACAGAGGATCACTACAAATGCCCAGTGTGCACAGAGGTCTATAAGGATCCAGTTTCAATCCCCTGTGGACACAGTTACTGCAAACTCTGCATCGAGATCTACTGGAGCAAACCGACTCAAGCTGGAGGTTACGCTTGTCCTCAGTGCAGAAAGAGGTTCAGAGGTCGTCCAGTGTTGAGTGTAAATGTTGCTTTGTCTAAACTGATTGAGGAACTCCAGAAGGCAGGATTTAGTCCAGCTCTTCCAGCTCAATGTTATGCTGGACCTGAAGATGTGGCCTGTGATATCTGTCCTGAGATGAAGCTCAAAGCTGTTAAATTCTGTTTGACCTGCACTGCGTCTTACTGTGAGACGCACATCAGACAACACTACACAGTACCAGCACTGCAGAGACATAACCTGGTGGAGGTAAATGTAAAATTACATGGAAATTTATGGCAGAATAATCACCACCACCACAAACAACTCCATTACCCCTTTTCCACCAAAGCATTTTGAGAGCCGGTTCGGAGCCGGTGCCTGCGCGCGAACCAGTTCTTTGTGTTTCGACAGCCAAAGAACCGGTTCTCAGCCAGGAGAACTGGTTCCAAAGCGGCACCAACTCTTTGCTGGACTAGAACCGTTCTTTTACCACGTCATGTTTACGTCGGGGGCTGGGCCGGGTTTAGATGTGTTCTAAACATCTTTTCTGACCATAATAAAGGATCGCAAAGCCAAGAGAAACATTTGCAGAAACACGTTGGAGTCCGCCTTTGTAATTGTTATGCTTGAAGTTGGCGCAAGCGTTTCTATTTTTTTTTTATTTTTTTTTTTATTAAAAACATTATAAGCAAATAAAACAGTCACAATATAGAATAATTAAATGGAAATAAAAAAAGACACAAGACAGGGGTACATAATTAATCAGAAAAGATTATACATCAAAGGAAAAGATTAAAATACTTAGATTTCAATTGTTTTCAAAGCCTTCATGGTACACAAGTTTTAGATAATCCCAAAGTGATGTTGTACTTGCAAGCGTTTCTAGCTAAGACGTATGTCGACGAGTCTCGTGTCAGACGAAAAACAAACAGGTTCTGAAAAGTTTCTCAAGTTGAACCAACTCCGAACCAACTTTGAAACAGCACCAGTTCCGAACCAGTTCTTTTTGTGTGGAAAAGGGGTGTAAGATATATTAATTATGTGTAAAAAAAAAAAAAAAAAAACACACATCTGTATATATTTGGATGCTGCATTAAACAAATTCATAAAGGGAAAACAAATGTAAATAATAAATCAACTCCATAGCTGATTTAAGTGATCACGGGGTTAGGATGTTCCAATTCAGCCCATTGCAGTTCCCGCCAGTAGTGGGCACTCGTAAAACGTAAGCAATGATGTACGTCCGAGTGAACGAGACAGAGGGAAATTAGCGAGTGAAGGGCATGACAATTTTGGACTGGAATAACAGCCTCATCCCAAGACGTCATATAACTGAAGTCTCATGACGTCTTTTGACCATACATCAACATCCGCCGTTTTAGGGTACCCTTTAACGTCAGTTACATGATGATCGTGGGATGTCATACAGCTGACGCTTTACCTTTAACGTCAGTTAGGTGCCGGGGTAGGTTTAGGTCTGGGGTAGAGTTAGGATCGGATAACGTCATCTAACCGACGTTTAAAGGTACCCTAAAACGGAGGATGTTGACGTATGGTCAAAAGACGTCCCAAGACGTCAGTTATATGACATAAAACTGCGCTGACTGGAACGCAGCCAATGTCAGCCTTATCAGGAGAGTGCTACTAAAGGAGCAATGTGCTCTGCATGCAAGCACTGACTGGTGCAAGACATGGGCTATGTTTGCAGTGTAACATTCTTGCTCATGTTCATGTCTCATGCACTTCAAGAGATCTGTTAAATGACATCAAAAATTGATTCAGGAAATTCCTAATAAACTTTACTAAAGCCAGATGCATTTTTAAGAATGTAGAAAAATTGATGCTTTATTCAAACAGTTTAATAACTTTTTAATGCATCTAATTACATCAAGTAACAACACAAATTAAACGCAAATAAGCACGCAAAACAAAGGAACAGAGAAATAGAGCATCACAGTCCCGCCCACAGCCCGAGAGAGCGTTGGTGCCGGAAGTAAATTTCCCATTCATTTCTCCCATTGACGTTTTGTAAAATCCATATCTAAAGAGTTTTAGAGCACGTCTGAGGATAACCAGCTACGGCTGAACTCATAAGCATACAACACATAATTTCGAGTGAAAAAACGAAGAGAAAATCCCCCAAAAAAAAGTCAAAGGTACAAGACTGTGTACATATTTTCATTTCTGAGCAAAGGAACTACTCCTCCCATAAACCACCGCGCCTCACTAAAGTTGACTGAAAGCCACCGTGAAAGAGCCTTTTGAGTGACTTCCAAATCTGACAACGGCCACGTGAACTTTTTCCTCCAGTCAATTTTATATAATGAATGTGCAGGTAAACTCCTTTTCCTCGATTTACTGAAGCAAACGCATTTGCAGCTGCACATGTTAAAACATTGAGCATCTGGCTCGCTCATAGGCTGTGCTGATGCACCTATGTTTTCTCTCTAATGAGGAAGCATTAGACTACTGAGAAGTGTACATGCAAAACTAAAATGGACGTTTTCCAATCAGTGGCTAATTTCAAACTACAATAAAGGTTTTTCAATGATTTTTCAACAGACTTGATATTGCTAAAAAAAAAAAACATGAAGTTTTTATTAATGCGAGCTGCATTACTGTATTTGTTCATGCAGTGTTCTGCAATCTAAGTTGGTATTATAATTAACATAGCGTAGGCACAGTGTGAATTAAGATAGTTATTGTGCATTACAGACCACTTCATTGATTATAACTGAGTGTTGTTTTTTTTTTGTCAAATTTTAAATTAATGTGTATTTTAGTTTTATTAACTTGATTTGCTAAGTTAGTTTTGCAAATTAGCTTAAACTTCTGATGCTTCTTTGTTTAGGCTACCATACCAATACAAGACAGTAAGGACATCAAGGAGATCAAAGAGCTTCAAGTTAGAGTCATCGAAGAGGTAAATGAAGAAATCAGAGTATTGACAACATTTTCTGAATGTGGTGTTACCTCAAAATAATATTTGCAGCACAAATAAGTTTTTCTGTATTCATATATATATATATATATATATATATATTATATATATATATATATATATATATATATATATATATATATATATATATATATATATATATATATATTTTTATTATTATTATTTTTTTCTTAGATTTCAAGGGATGAAAAGGTTGAAAATGTTAATCCCGCTAAGTGCTTCTACAGTGGATTTTCCTATAATGGTATGACTGGCAATTCTCTTAGAAGCTTATTTACAAAGGTTCTCATAAGTATCACAACTGGATTATTTTAGCAGTAACTTGACTTTAGCCACCTTGATATTTGACATCCTTTCTGGTAAAAATAGAAACACCATCTATGTAACTTTGGATAAAAGCATCTCCTAATGAGTAAATATAAATAGTATAATTTAAAATGAAATGCATTATCAGATATCACAATCTTGGCTTGACTTCATGGCCTTACCTCAGATTAATTATTTTTTACTGAATATTATGATTAGCTTCTTATGTGGAAATCAGTAAATGGCCGCACAATTTGGAAAACATGCTGTATTTTAAAAGTTTGTACAGTATATTTTATTTGTTTGTACATCCGTATATAAGTTTAAGCATATAGTTTGTGAAATATAACTGAAAAAGAAGGTGCAATGTTTACTAGTGTCTTGTAATCCAGTCAAAGAGATGTGCTGTAATCTTTCTGTATATATCATGCTTATTTAATAATGTTTTTCAATGGCTTTTCTAAAATGGCTGTCATCTAAATGTAATACTGTGCACTTTTCCCCCCAAATAACTCACAGATTTACCTGTGGATGTAACTGAGATTACGGCACTTGGTCGTCCTTTGGATCTTGGAATGTTTTATGACTGTCGGAATGATTCATTTATTTCAGGTTGGTCTAAACTCATTTACGATGACTATTAGTGTATTGTAACAATATTTTAATACTATTTTAAAATATATAATAATAAAATAATTTAATATAATTTTAAAAACTCAAATGTAGGAAGTACATGTTCATGTTATTCTCCCCTACATTTTACAGTGCTACTTGGGTGGAAAAATGCTTCTTTTTTCCTTCAGTAAAAGATGCAACTAATTAAATTGGCTAAATAAGCTCTACGTTCTCTGACTTTATGATTTTTTTTAAACATTTAGCTATTCCATACACCCTCCTCTTAGGCTTCTGTGATGTGAATTGATGTTGTATGTGTAGATGGACTTTAAATTGTTTTTCAAATAAGTAAAATTGAAGCAGAATGTGCTGTGAATGTGTTTACAGACGGTAACCTTTGGGATAACCATACTGTAACAAGTAACAGAATATCTTGGCCCCTACTGAAAGCACATCTAAAGGTTTTGGAAGATGACTCCCTTCCGGAGAGATGCAAAGCATTTGAAATGTCACCTATGTTACGAGTAAGTGCTCTGTGTGGACTGATGGTACTAAGTGGGGCTGCAGCCTTTCTGAATCACCCAGTTCAGTCTCAACATCACGACAGATTTACACTACACTATAAAACCACCACCAGACTAGACATGATCAGCCAAAGACTGTTACAGGAAGGAGCTCCTACCTCAGTGATTAATGCAACCACAGCAACACATGTGATCATCGCTGTTTTCTATGGAGCCCAAGCATTCTTTGTTTTTGATGATAAGAGAATCAGCACAGAGAAAAATACAGAAATGGAAAATGTTATCAAGAAACTCACCACTACCTTCAGTGCACAAGATGTGTTCTCAAGTCTCAATGAAACTGAAAAGGCAAACTGTAGTTTATATGACTGCAGTATGTACATTGACGTAGATGATTGGAAGAGTCCAGTGTCTTTTGATAAGGCTGTGGACATCTACGGTTCTCTGCCGACACTGCTTGGATCCAAAGGTGAGAGAGCGGTTCCTCAAAAGGTCTGGCTGTATCCTCTGAAGAGACTGGACAGGAGCTCAGTGTGTGCCGCTCTGAGTGGAGTCAGTGAAAACTTGATGCAACAAGCTGAGAATATTCTAGAACATCTGAGAAAACAGATCAGGGTCTGTCAGGACATGATAACAGACTATGTTAATCTGACTGTGATTACTCGGTTTCCTGCTTTGCAAGAACAATTTCAAAACTTTTCAGAATTTCTACAAGAGTACATGTCAGATTTTCAGAGAAAAGCTGCTGAGATTATTAAATCCATAAATGTCAAGGAAGCAGAAGGAGAGAAGAGTTTTCAAGAACTCATCAGTAACTGTGTTCAGTCTCCATTCAATCCAGAGAACACACATCATTGGCTTGAAAAGAAGAAAACTGATCTGGCAGTTTTAAATGAGTGCAGAGCAGCGAACATTACCATTGTAAAATCACAGGAGGAGCTTCAGCGTGTCATTAATGATCCTTGTATGAGCAGAGTGTTCTGCTTCACTATTTCATCAATGGAGGATGATTTTCTCACAACTCTGAAGCAGCACATTCAATTAATGAAAAACTGCACATTGACCATGTCTGATTGCATAAAGCTAGAAGATTCAGTGCGGTCAGTAAAGCCTGTTTGTGTCAGTCAGAAAGTATTTTCTGACTTAAAAGTATTTATTGCTGCCAAAGAAACAAATGAAGATGCAATGCAAACCAAGTTCATTGCTGCATTTGTACCTGATGATGGTTTTCACTGTGTGCGGTTTTACCATGCTGGAATCATTATGAGCAGAAATATGAAACTTCAAACAAAGCCAAATCTTATCCAAATATCTCAAATAAAACACAGTAGCATGTCCTTAAAAATGAATAAAACACAAAACAGAAGCATTGAGAGTTGTTTGGTGGAGTACAGAGCTCTGGGTGATGATGGAATGAACAACACTTGGAAACAGATCTTTTTTGACACCAAATCTGTTAAGGAAACCTTCATTATTTCAGGACTTACACCAGGCAAAAGATTTCAGCTGAGGTATTCAGTGATTGAAAATGGCTGTATGAGTAACTTCAGCAAGATTATGAACTTTCATACAGCTCTTGCAGCAATACCTGGACAACCCTTGGTGAATAAACTGAACAGAAACACTCTCAGATTTGTCTGGCAGAGAGCTGAAGCTGATGAAGATTGTCCAGTGCTGCAGTATATGGTTGAGTACAAAGAAGCAGGACTGGAGGGCTGGTCATCAGTACTAACACAAGGACCTCAGTGTGAATGTACATTAACTGTTCCTTACAGCACCTGCTATAGAGTCAGAGTCTCAGCTGTCTATGAGGACGTCACCAGTGAACCCAGTGAGGAAACACCAGTACCAGTTGACGGTGACACATGTGACACTTTTAAATCAATACACTGTAGTTGTCAACTTGTTTGTTTTTTTGATTTAACCATATTTCTTGTTGCTGATTTTTCTGCATCTGATTCCATTGTCGCCAATAGTCTTGTCCATAAAGCTCTCAAAGAGAAAGATCTCCATCCTCCTAGAAGTGCTGAAACTGCAGACAGAGAAGAAACCAGTAGAGCTGATAGACTGGACAGATGAAGAGAGTGAAGTGTGGGGATTCCTCCAGTGTCTGCCCTACATCTCACAGCTCAGGTGAGAGTCTCATCAGGAACACACCAATCATGCTGGATTATTGTATTTAGTGCTAATAATAAAATATATGAATTTAATGTACAGTGTATGTTAGGAAGACAATATATATGTGAACGTGAACCAGAATTGAAAACACTGTTTCATAAACTTCATAGACTAGCCTTACAAGTTAGTTATCTAATTATTTTACACAAGACTGATCATAACTGTTTTAAATCAGTTACATAAAGAGGTATTGGTGTAATTTGAGTCTGAAAAGTAAGTGTGATTCGCCCTAACTAACTGCTAGTTGTTCATACTTGTGCAGTGTTGGACAGTAACTTTCTTTGGTAACTAGTAGTGTAACTAATAACATTAATTTTTTGTCACAGTTGCTAATGATTTGAAATTCAAAAATCCAATCATCCCTATCAATTCTCATAATCGTTTTTGTGTGTGTGCGCTCATGACATCATCAACGCTGCAATTCTTTGTCTGAAGACGGAGAAGAACTTTTATAAACCACATCATATAGCGGCTGAAATACAGCCTTTATTTGATATTTTCTATGTTGCTGCTTTATTAAATAACAGAAGGGGTTTAATCAAATTGTGGCTTGTCTGGCGTCAAATCAATGCCAATAATAACCGAGCGCAAAACTGATGCATGACATCTCCTTTGCACGCAATATATCTGCTCTCGCCTGCTGCTTTTGCTCGCTCGAACAGTTTTATTTTTGGCAGTCGAGGGGCAGGACTTACTGTTTTAATAATCTCGAATGTCATTGGTTATTTCCCCTTTTCCAGAAGTCAGTTGTGATTGGGCGCTTGTCCAATGACCCATAATACACTTGACTTGAGACATGAGACATCACTTAATTAGTTTTATTTATTGTGGTTTATTAATGTGTAATGTGATTTAATGCATTGTTAATATAGATTCTTAACAGATACTTTATTAACAGGAAGTCTTACTGATGCATTTCGATAGCATTGTAAATGTACCAAAATTCTTAAACATTTTATGTAATATAAATGGTTAATTATATTACGGGGGTGGGGGGGGGGGGCACAATGGGGTCAAGGTGGAAAAATGTTAAATTCTGGCTGGTAAACATACCATTTCAGTGCAGTTTGGGAGGGACAAAAATACCTTAACGGAGCTAGCAGCAACCCTCCTCAATCTGAGGACTAAGATAAAGTATTTATTTTGTACGTTTATGTAAAAGACAGGTTGATGAAAGAACTGTAAGCTCAAATTCAAAAGCTTTTGAAGTCTACTTCATTAAAGCATGTTTACACACACACACTTACTGTACACTTAGGCCTACTACACATGATTTTAAAAACAGTGCCATTGCAGTTTTTATGTTATAATGTTAAATTGGTATGTGACCTAAGAACAATCTTACATTAAAGGTACATAAAGGTGCTGAGGTCTGACTTTGTGGTGCTCTGAAATTAAGTTATTTTAATATTAATATGTGATGAAGGACTTTGTTTGACAGATTTCAGTGCTCAATAAGGTTAACACTACCCCGTTTATTTGAAAATGGTTAATATTTGACAGAAATATAAAAAAAAGTAATGAAATGAAATGTAATATGTAAATGGACTGCATTTATATAGCGCTTTCATAGACCTAATGGCCACCAAAGTGCTTTACATATTGCCTCACATTCACCCATTCATACACACATTCATACACCGACGGCGGTGTCAGCCACACAAGGCGCCATCCAGCTCGTCGGGAGCAGCTGGGGTTAGGTGTAAGTAAGGCCCCGTCCACACTACTGCGTTTTCGTTTAAAAACGGAGAATTAAAGCGAATACGATCTCCGTCCACACCAGCGTTTTGTCTGCGTATTAGAAACGATCTCCGTCCCCATTAAAACGACTGAAAACGCGGATCACGTGACCATTCACCAACACTGGGCATGCGCGCGCCGGTGTAAACAGTGAATGACGAATCAGGGAAGGATACGTCATGACTGATAACACCCAATCATAGAGCCAAGCGTCAGCCTCTGCGTCAGCGTTTCTGAAGTTATCCGTTTTGTGTCGTCCACACTAAAACGCCCTCCGGAGATTCAAAAAGCAAAACGCAGCTGCAGCGTTTCTAAACTTCTCCGTTTTAGGTCTTCGTTTTTCCCGTTTTAGTGTGGACTGGAGGTGCAAACGTAGCAAAAGGTCTCCGTTTTTAAACGAAAACACAGTAGTGTGGACGGGGCCTAAGTAAGTAAACTTTATTTATATAGCACTTTTCACAGACAAATGAAGGGTCACAAAGTGCTTTACAGTAAAAAACAAATAATAAAAGAAATGAAAAACCACAACACACATTACAACACCACCATATAGCTAGTTAAAAGCTTGTCTAAAAAGATGTGTTTTAAGGTGTTTACTAAAATTTTCTACAGAGTCCAAAGCTCTCAAGACTAATGGAAGAGAGTTCCAGAGCCTTGGAGCCACCACACAAAACGCACGATCACCTCTTGTTTTAAAACGTGTTCTAGGAACAGTAAAAAGGTCTTGGCCTGAAGACCTCAAGGAGCGACCGGGACACGTCCATGTCTTGCTCATGGACACCTCGACACTTGTTCAGGTGGAACCGGGGATTGAACCACCAACCTAACGGTTTGTAGCCAATCCACATGAACCACTGAGCCACTGCTGCCCCGAAGTAATGTAACATTACTTAAGCAAAATCATTGAAATACTATATTTTAAATAAGGAACTTGTAAAGAGTAATTTATGGAAATGCATCATTACAGTCTGTAAATATCTCTTAAGGCCTTTTCACACCAGACGTGTAACGAAAAAGAGAAACGGAAAAGCGAATAGTTTGCGTGCGAGTAGTTCGCGTTAAAACCATTCACATCAGCCAACAGCTGAGCTTTTCATTTTCTTTAAAAGACAGAAAAGAAGGTTTTGTGTGCAACCAATCTTAAAGAACAGAGAGTCTGAAGGGGAGTACTATGCTAATCTGCTAAAGGAGCTAAAACTTTGCCACAAAGAACCGGCCAAAGTAAGGATTATGCATTAAACATTTGAATTTTTTATTAATAAACTAGTCTGCCGAGTCTGTCCAGCCTCCTCCCCCTCCATCGTATCCAACTCACCACCAGGCGGTGATCAGTTGACAGCTCCGTCCCTCTCTTCACCTGAGTGTCCAAGACATACGGCCGCAGGTCAGATGAAACGACCACAAAGTCGATCATCGACCTACGACCTAGGGTGTCCTGGTGCCACGTGTACTGGTGGACACCCTTATGCTTGAACATGGTGTTCGTTATGGACAAACTGTAACTAGCACAGAAGTCCAATAACTGAACACCTCTCGGGTTCAGGTTGGGGGGGCCGTTCCTCCCAATCACGCCCCTCCAGGTATCACTGTCGTTGCCCACGTGAGCATTGAAGTCCCCCAGTAGAACGACGGAGTCCCCAGTCGGAGCACTTTCCAGCACTCCTTCCAGAGACCCCAAGAAGGCCGGGTACTCTGCACTGTCGTTTGGCCCGTAGGCACACACGACAGTGAGAGACATATCCCTGACCCGTAGGCGAAGGGAAACGACCCTCTCGTTCACCGGGGTAAACTCCAACACATGGCGGCTGAGCTGGGGGGCTATAAGCAAACCCACACCAGCCCGTCGCCTCTCACCATGGGCAACTCCAGAGTGGTGAAGAGTCCATCCTTTCTCAAGGAGTGTGGTTCCAGAGCCCAAGCCATGCGTAGAGGTGATCTCGACTATCTCTGGTTGGAACCTCTCAACCTCACGCACAATCTCAGGCTCCTTCCCCGCCAGCGAGGTGATGTTCCACGTCCCTAAGGCTAGTTTCTGTGTCCAGGGATCGGGTCGTCGAGGCCCCCACCTTCGACTGCCGCCCGATCCTCTCTGCACCGGCCCCTTAGGCTCCTCCCGCGGGAAGGCGGTCCCACGTCGCTCGTTGGGGAGGGGTCAGCTGAGGTGGCTCGGGCATCTGTTTCGGATGCCTCCTGAATGCCTCCCCGGGGAGGTGTTCCGGGCCCGTCCCACCTTGGACACGCTGGAGAGACTATGTCTCCCGGCTGGCCTGGGAACACCTCGGCGCCCCCCTGGAAGAGCTGGAGTAAGTGTCTAGAGAGAAGGAAGTCTGGGCATCTCTGCTTAGACTGCTGCCCCCGTGACCCGGCCCCGGGTAAGCGGAAGAAGATGGATGGATGGATAAACTAGTGTTTTCTGTCAGTTTTCGGTATGAGACGCGCTCCAGTTCACTCGCCGGCGCCTCCGTGTCCTAATTATATTGTCTACTATATTTGCTTTTTATTTATTAATCCAGGCTATTTGTTGATGAAACATTGCTAAAAATTAAGATACAAATTATACAAAACGATATTCAGTTTAAAGAAAGGCTTTCTTCAAAACAAAACTTAATAAGTGGCCAAAATTATGTCTAACTCATTCCAAATGTTTTCGATATAGGCTATTAGGCATCTTATGATCCTTACTCATCTCATGCGGTTCACTTTTCGTATAGCTAATCAACATAGATGAAATAAAATAAAAAAAACATTATATTATTTAAACATATGAAATGTATGTTTACGTTTTTTAACTTATATTTAAGCGTCACCCTGCTCCGCTTTACTCAATGTCAAGAAACAACGCCATTAACACCAATGGACTGTATGTACATACACCAAATCACAAACAAACACACACACACACACACATATATTGTCACAGCATTAGCACGGTATGTTTACTGACATCGATATCATGTATACTCATACTTGTGCAATGTTTGTAAATGTTTGTAGGTATTGTGTATAGTGGGTTTAAGATATGTAAGGGTACGGTGTGTGTTTTCTTGTTATGTGTAATGAATATGTACAATGAGTTTGGGTATCATTAGCCGCTAAAATTGTTCATTCATTGTTATCAATAACCTCAATTAGTGATGTAACATTTGAACCGAGGCGTCTGAGCTTGTGTCGAGAAAAAATGGGCGTGCCAGATGAAGCCGCGATTTGAGGCTTGT